CTTTTAACTTTCTGTTCGAAACTATGTGACGCTCGCTTATTTATAAAAGAAGCAACCATTCTTTTTATTTCACTGAATTTGTCATTCATATATGCCTGATCTCACGACTATTATTCAGAACTTACTATATAGAAATTACCACCTTTTTCCTACAGCTGAACTTCGATTTCATAGCGAATACGCAAATGCTGACATACTCTAAACATACGTCCAACACCTCAAATTAAAGAAAATGATAAGTAACAATAAATTATCTCTTCACAATTATTAATATAATTTATGTATGTACATCCAAGAATAAGATAATGTGATTCATCCAAACGCCAAATTCAATTATTTTTCATGCAAAATTCATTTTCATTCGGAATTAATTTTCTTGCAGCCAGTACCAATTCAATTATTTTTTTATACAAAATTGTTGCACAGAAAAAAAGTTAGTGAAAATCTGTCATGCATTTAGGAGAAAAGGAATTCAAAAGAATGAGTGTCGAATCAAGTTTCTTTTTGCTGTATCTAACAAAGATAGCGCGGTTTTGTTTGATTTGGCGCGCAGTATTTTTCTGTTGTATCGTCATTAGACCGTAAATAATTATTACAATATTTTCCGTTGTTAAAAAAATCTGCATCTAGTTTCCTGTGCCTGCGATTTCTCAAAAAAAAAAAAAAAAAAAAAAAAAAGTGGGGGGGGGGGGGGGGGGCATTTCAACAGCTCTAAGCATATTTTTCCTATTTTGGAATACTTTTGGAGCAATTATTCGCAATAGTGCATCAGAAAATGTCTTCTTAATATTCGATTGCTGGAGATTAAGTAACTAAATAAAATAAAAAAAATAATCTGCTGTTAAATTCAAGATGAAGTATCATTAAACATTTCAAAATTACATATAAATGGCCCAATAAAGCCATAACGTTCTGAACAAGCCTTTAATGGAGCTACTCTTATGTACGCCCTCGCTTGGCGACAAATTTCTTGCCAAATATTTTTGGCGAGAACCTCCACGGTGCCATATTACTATCCAAATTTTTTGGTCTACATTTCGAACTTTAAGCCTAAAATGTCTCCAAAAACGCACAATTTAAGCTAAAAATCCGAAACAAAAACAAAAAATTTAGATAGCAAAAACGTAAAGTTTCTACCCAAAAATATTTGACAAGAATTCATGTACACAGCAATATGTTTTAACTTAAAAAATCATCACAGAATTTCACAATTCATGCAGCGAAGGAATCTACGAACTACGCACACCTAGCTTAAGTAAATTAACATAACAATAAATTTCAAAGAATACCATGCACATAGCGTTCTGTATAAACTTAAAAGAAATCATCTACGAATTGCACAATCTGGCATTGCTCACTAATCAGCAAAATAAACTAAAATAAATTTCAAAGAATTAAAAAAAAAAAAAAAAAAAAAAAAAAAAAAACAGCAATAACGACAGATATTCATATTAAAAAAACAATGAACATAACATTCTACGAAATAAGATCAAGAATAAAGTAAAATGCACTTACCATGAATGACTGCTTCTTCGAAAAGCAGAAGTACCAATTTCAAACATCACCAAAACAATTTCACCACAAATTTGTTAAAAGCATCTTCTCGCGTTTCAGAACAACGATGGAAAAATATATAAACCACCAAATAAAACACAAAATCGCATTTCCGATTATAAGTAGGCAACGTAACTTTAACATGCTGCCATGTAATCTCTATCGTATTTATATGACAGCCAGACTCACTATCCACAAAACTGATACCATCTTTCACAAATAAATGTTCAAAACTTTCTTCTCCTAAATACTTGTAGAATTTCCAACCATCCGACTGAAATTTTGCCAACACGTCATAATTCACTTAATTACCACACACCATACGAACCAACTAACAAATCCAAGTTTCCATGTAAAAGGGGTTGCCATAGAAACCAACATCGCCTCCAAAACCACCGCAGAACACTCAATCGCGCCAAATACCAGCACACAACACATATCGCCGCATTTGGCGACCTCAGGGCGCATACAAGGGTAGTACCCTTTTAATTTACCAAATATTCGTAACAAATATTTTAAACTAAGGATTAAGACACACCGTTCTGTAGTTCATCAGTTTTCAGTGGCACAATATTCGTGGCAAATAATTTAAGTTTGTTACGAATTAAGACATAATATGTTCATCAGCGTCTTTAAAATAAACATTAAAACTATGCTGTTCCATAATACTTAAATTATACAAATACATTAAATGTAAGTTATTATTATGGATGTCTCAATAACTCAGTGTTTAAATCTGATGATTTATTTCTATTTTTCAGTCACGTTGTCTTTCAAGTAATCCTTTTTCAGTTATTTGTGGTAAACAAATTAATACAAGAATACATTATAGTTCGTAATAAACCCTTTTAAAATTATAGCTTATAAATATGAGCAACACGGAATATTTTATCATGCAAATATAAATAAATACTAAGCGGGTTTCTTTAGGATATTCTCCACGAAGATATTCCTCTTCTTAGCCAGATAACTCTCATGTGCTCTGCTGTAATCAACTAAAATGAATGAAAAACACAACAAAAAGCATTATACTTTTAAGATCGTACAGACGAAGGATTTTATAAAGAAAAGTCATCTCTACTATAAAAATTTCTTCTTAATATCCAATAGAAACTATCAAGCCTTTAATATTAAGCAATGTAATCGCAAATAATAAGTGCGCTTGTTTATAACCTTTATTCTATTGCTTAATACTAGTTTTCATAGCTTAGCCAGCCCTATATTCCTTATTCATACAGTATAAAGTTTTTCGTGAGTAATTAGCTTAATCGTCTCATGGAATATGTCATTTTTTAATACAAGTTATACACCGATTCAAATACTGTTTACATTGAACTGATTAACCTTAAATGAAGATGCGAATGAAGTAGTTTAAAACAGTAAATTTATCGCGGAATGTATTAACTAAATTCTCAGCCTAGAACTGCATTAGCAGTTTCGAAAAAAATCTCAAAATGAAGAATTTACATTAACATTTCTAATACGTACACGCATGAAGCGTCCATCAGTGAGCAAGTGATTAAATTGCTGAACACTGGTAGTTCTACCCAATTTTCATATTCACGTTACACATGGAAAAATCACGAAAGCTCCCATATGTAACGTGCATACGAGCCAATTTCTGTTAGAAAAATATCCATGAAGGCATTCTTCCCTTAGGCTGGTAGACTTCGCGTGCTTTTTCGTAACGCAATTCCTCCACTAGTACTGATAAGCACCATATGCATTAACTTTTGGAAATAAATTAGTACTATAGTCTTTAAATTAATTTTTAAGTTTAGAAAGCAGTAAAGTCCTGGTATGTTAAAATTATGCATTGCTACATTGCACATATACAACTTTAATTTAGATCTGTTGTCTTGTAATACGTTTATAAATTTGCAAAAGCATCATTCAGCATACACCTTGTATCCCTACGCTGACAAAGAACAGGCTTAATAAAGCTTAGGTATATGGCCATTTTCCGTCTGACTGTTCGGTTTGATACTGTGTCTTTGCAAATGCATCAATTCTGAGAAACTACCACATCGACACCGACCAGTCTACATATCTCTCCTGTCTTCAATTTTAGAAAGGAAACGCTCCAGTCTGTTATGTCTCCGTCAGGTACATATCTCTTTTGGAGAATGTTCTTTACGGTTGCATCAAAGGTCAGGCCGTAATGGAAATCTTTCAATAACTGGCAATAGTAGCGAACACTATCACCTGCTGCAGGGCAGTATACCGACCAAGTACGAAACTATCATTTTCTGTCTTGCAGATATTTAGCAAAGTTTCATTGTCAGGAGATTCTTTCAGATTTGCTTTATATGATGCAAGTCAGTTGCTCTTCATCTAAAAGCACAGAAAAAGAAGATTTTTTCTCCCACGATGTTTTGTATCACGACGTTTTCGCTTTGCATTACTTTCTCCGCGACGTTTCCGTCCGCGATGTTTTCGGCCGTAACCTTTAATTTCTTTTAATAAGGAAAACATGATTCATTGAGCTTAGTAATAAATAGGCTAAAGACACACCAGTATCAGCCGTGCAGGTGGTAACCGACGGCAGGTTTGCGCTGATGATTCCATGTAATGATTAGTACGTTTGTTGACGTTGCATATTACTTACTGCATTCTTTGAGCGAAAAATATATTTATTACAAATTTATGAGAAGCTGCTATACAATATATAATAATATGGGAAACGCAGAACAATTAATGCATCTCATCTCTGTATCTCATCTCTGCAATCTCATCTCTGTATGGTCCGCCGCAAAATAATACTATGGTTTATGTATTTGATAGATCTATGTATTTGTATAGTTCTACGAGTAATACCGCTGCAAATAGATAGATCTCTATTTATTTGATGGGGTAATCGATTAACATCTTGTCACGTTGTAGGAATGATTTGGTTCACAACATTAGAAACTGAATCTTCTAACCGATTATTGTTTACAACGGGATGGGGGTTATTAATAGTAATTTATCACTAATTAGTAATTTATCGCGAAATAAAAATTTCTGAATTCAATGAAAAAGAAAATCATATTTAATGTTATTTATTGATACGAAAAAGTTTTATTTCATTAATAATATATAGATATTAATTATATGACTGGTAAAAGGAGAGAAAGTTTTATATATATATATGATATGAATTATGTTTGCAACATCCTATAAATTTAAATTTTGTAATTCTAAATCAATTATGGTTTATAATGTCTTTGTGGAAGACTTTCTAAAGTATAAATTAAGGATTAATTGAATTAAGTGTAAAAGAGGAGGTAAGTAAAATAATTTCGTTTTTGAAATGAAATAACTTGATATAATACTTATTAAAGTACGTTACTTGTTACCTGTTTAGCACTTTTTATGAACTTTCGTATTTTGCATTTTCGGACACAAATTAAAAACCAATATTTTACAGCGTGTTCAAATTTTGCAATATTTTGTATTTGTTGCAGTTATGGAGTACACGGGCCCAGCAAATCGAACTGTAGTCCTTTGTACTTGGGCAGCATCCTGGACATCTTGTGCTGCTATCCTACCATGGATTGCTTACGTCTTACGGAACTGGAGGTGGTTACTTTGCGTGCCATTTCTACCAGCGTCAGTGCTGCTCTGTGTATCATGGTAAGGAAAGTTTTTCTTCGTTTGATGGCAATTAGAAATTTGTGGGCGTGATAACAATAAATGGTAGGCGCAAGCAAATCGTAAAGAAAATATTAGTAAAAAAAATATTAATTTACTAAAAGGAAAGCAAAACAAAATGCATTCTAACATAATAAAAAATAAAATACACATTTACGCTGACATAATGCACTTTATAAATAAGATTGTATTAAGAATTAACTTATCAATACTAAATTAAAAACAAGTTTAATCTTGACTTGCCTGATTCAAGATTGATTAAATTCCTTTGGGCCTGATTTGCATAGCAAAGAGTTTAGAAGGAAGGTTTAATATAAGAAACTGAAACTGACTTTGCCATTTTGCCATAAAGTCGATGAAGATTTCTTCTTCGGCAGCTGAAAGACCTTCGGGAGTATTTTGAAATGGATTACGTAACCGAATCATAACTTGCTATCACGTTGTCGTCATCAACAAAGGACTTTTTTAAAATCATTTACCTGCATGACTGAATGATTTTCAATGGTTACAAAAACAACTTTCACATGTTGTTCTTCAACCTTGTAAGTTTTAAAACCTTTATTCACATTTTCAAACATTTCCAGATTTTTTTGGATTTAAATTTCTATTCCACATTTCCAGTTTTCTACAAAAAGCATTAACGTTATCACTCGTATCCAACACACGTGTATTTATTCTTTGGAGTTGAAGATTCCAGGAATTTAATTTATTTAATATGTCGACCAAGTAGCTCAGTTTCATCACTCGTAAACCACATCGAAACTTCTCAGCTTCAGTTTTCCTCTTCTAGAAAAATGGCGGTTTTATTTCTTAATTTAGGAACACGTTGCAAAAATATCCGACATGGTAACCATCTTGCCTCACTAATAATATAGTAATGAAGAATGTGCTGCACCCATGTCTATATAAAGGGCAGAGGAGATTCTTGATTTTAGGGGGTCTCATCTTTAGATAATTTACTGCGGTTACAATATTCAGCATAATATTCAGACCAAGATTAATTTCTTCGGAAGCCAGAGCTTCTGTGTGGATCATACGATGTATACAGACACAGTGTGGAGAGATTTTTTTTCGCAAGTGTTTATATACTTTAGAATCTTCTAGATACTGAAGAAGCATCGCCGGAGCACATCCCGAGCCAGGTTTTACACCTTGTATTTGCCTCGTTTATATAATCATTTTAAGATAGCAAATAATTTGGGTGCCGTTGCAATGAGTTCCATTAGTTTGAAGAAACGTAATTCTTCTACTGCTCACTACCATCACAAAGTCGAACACTGTGTCGACTTGTGTGAGGCAATAAATGGGCAGCTTTATTGCTATCTGTTGCTCTATCAGGCGGAACTAAGATCAATTTGTCATGCAACTCCATGAAAAGCTGATGCTGTAAATCTTCAGCTATATCACCAATCTGACAGGGAACATTATCATTTGATAGAGGTATAGACTGCAGTTGTTTGGCAAAATTTTCCAGACATAGTTTCTACAATCTCGATTGCATCTGGCAAAATAAGCTCATCACCAGTGATGCGAGGCCATTTGTATCTGCCTATTTTATACGAAACCTTGGTGGTGTATTTAATTAAGGCAAAGCACACTAGGGATATCTGTCTAAGGGAAGGGATGCCTTCGTGGAGGACTTTCTAAGGAAAACTGGCTCGTATACACATTACGAAACCTTGTAAACGGTAAGTAAAGCCTTCTCATTCAAAGGCAAAGTTTTTTTTTTTAATTTTTGCTCGTCATAAGATTTTAATATTAATTTCAAAAATTCTCAGCATTTGTTAACATACTCACTATGAAGCCTTTCCAAATGTCGTTTACAAGGTTTCATGCTATCTGTTGCCAAAAGGTTTGAGTAATTGACAGACAGGAGCCTTTCTTCTTCATTTACTTCAGTACTGGTAAATACAAAGTTTAACTACTCTGGAGAATATTTTCCTGATTTTATGTTCGGAAATACGCTTACTCTGCAACTTATTTCTTTCAGTCGCATACATTCATTCAGCCCGCTCGCCTGCAATCGAAGTAGGAACTACCAGTATTCAGCGATTTTACCGCTCGGCTGCTGATGGTTCTGCTTTGAACAAGTAAACAAAATATATCACCGTGCTCCATTCATAGAAATCAAGTGAATCGAATGTGGAGGAATACGGAATTGGAATATGTTTAAATAGATTCTTTTAACTACTAATATTTCTATGAGGAGTAGGACAGTTGATAATGTAAAGACAGTGTTGTGACAATGGAGTAGGCCCTTGAATATAAATGAGATGTCCTGCCCCCATGAGAATTTTCTAAATGAACTCGATTTTGAAGGATTATCTCCCCCCCCCTCCATATTGTAAATATAGTCAATTGCAGCATTCAGAAAGTAGTTTGAAAATAAATTGTAGGTTAATTTTGAAACTCATTCGCTTATCCTAGATAACATCATTAACTAAACTGTCACATAAAAGATGAGTGCTTTAAAATAAATCTCGAGGCGTGGTGTTATTAGTGATGCGCCTATAGTGGTCATGATATCGTGTTACTTTAGCGTCATTGTGCAGATCCCGAATAAAGCTCAACTAATAAATAAAATTCGAAAATAAATTTCACCTTTTAAATCTAACATTCATTGACTTCGATTTTCAAAGCTTATTTTTGCTTTGCGAACTGCCGTGTTTCTTCATCACCGATTGTTAAGATATGAATGATAAAAAAAATTATACCCAGATACAACAAATAATAAAACAATTCTCACTCTTCTTGCGTAAAATTTAGTTGTGTATGGTCACCTCAGTCAAGTTATGCAAAAAGTAAAGAGTTGCACCAAAGGTCCGTGAGAGTTTCACCAGATTTATGCACTAACTACAGTATTTTTATAATTTACCTTACAAATTCTGCTATTAAAAATAGATAAGCCCGCAAGAGATCAAATGATAAAGCAAATGAATACTAGCAGTTCGACCTGCATTCAAATTTCGGAAAACGAGCTTTCTGCATGGAAGGTTTCGTGGTTTGCATGGGAGTTAAGATAGAATACCAAATTTAATTTGCAGCAACTCCCTAACTTTACTTTCTAGCTCCGTAAAAAAATGGATAAGATACTCTCTAACTTTTTCCTTTCTAATTCCGTCACTTTGTTATTTTCTCTTTACGATATTCAATCATTTGTGACTGCAATATCGCCTTTATGCACCAAGCTCGGTCACTCCGTAATCATGTTCGCCTCAATGTTAACAAAATCTAAACTATATTTATCTACGTTGCCATCCAAATCTGTAATTACATTTATATGCAAGATAAAAAATATATAAAGCAAAATTCATTTTTCCACTTTTACATACCAAACAGAACTCGAGCGATGTTTTACTACAGATGCAGACCCCCCCCCCCCAAAAAAAAAAATTGGTAGGCATGGCATTTCACAGACTGGACTGAAATAATTTGAAATGTTGAAGTTTAGATACGTTGTAGTAACTAATTCCGGTTACTATCAGAGAGCATTAATTCCAGAGGTAAGTGATCATTCCTTTTCCTTATTAATACACACACATTTTATTTACAATATAATACAATGGTTACAAGCATTATTATTAGGCATACGCCTTCATCGTTATTAGGCTTAACACCTTCGTTATTCCATCAAACTAAAGTTAAGTTACAGAATATCATCAGAGACAAGACATTCGGAGCGCCACCTAACGGCGCAAACTATCAATTTATAACATACGTAGATGTCAAATGAACAAATACGCAGTTGCAGTCAGGGTTGATTTCAATACTTCTGCATTCTTAAGAAGAACATTCTTAACACGAATTACGCACTTAATCTGCTTACCTGTTCTTGATCACATTTGCCTTTTCTACATGTTCATTACAATTACTGCTGATGAACGAACCAACAGCAGGTGGAAAAAGAGTTCAAAGCTAAAAAAGGGGGTTAAGAATGCGTTGTGTTTAAGATGAAATCTCGGTACAGAATGATTTGGGTTTGTTTCACGTTTAACCCCTGTTGGAAAATAAAAAATTTCGTTCTCAAATTTGAAATCTTATTCGCTGAAGTGTTTATGAAAGTGACGGTGTCCTGGTGTTAAGCAAGAACGATAGGATATAAATTAGTTTTGAAATGAAGCAGTTTAGGGCGATTTATTATAAACAGTTAAGTGTTTAGTGTCTATTATAAGTGTTTAGGACAGAAAGAATATAGACCCAGATAAAAAACTAAATCCTAGTTATCTAGAATTTTGCTCTATGTATTTTTATATGCTATTACATAAACCGAGAATCTTGCTACCTTTTATTGCAGTGCTGTAGCTTATGTTACTCTTTATGATACTGGCAAGATAGTGATAGCAATTATAGCACGCATTAAATGCTATAGCACACAAGCACTTAGAGCACACAAGCATTTAAAACAACTTTTACTGGTATTAATTTATTAGCGGTTGTCTAGTTAACTGATTATTACGAAGCACGCGAAGACTATTTTACATAGAAAAGATACATTCGGAAAGACTTTCTAATGGAAACTTTTTATGTTTCGTGTAAGGAAAATCGCAAATTTTCAGCATCATGCAGCGTGGAGTGGAAACATGCCTGAGTGAAATTACCAGCCAAATTACCAGAGGTTTTATTTACTTTATTACTGCTAGATGAAATATTATTTTATGACGCAAATACATTTATAAAGCAAAAGTTCCCGAGCGAGCAGAACAAAGTGTTTATTTAGCCTGAAATAAGAGTAATAAAGATATGATTTCAAGTTAGTACGTGTTTACTTTTCGAATAATTCACTAATTTAGGCAGATAGCCCTCATGTGCTTTGCTGCATTTAAATAACCTAAACTAGTTCCCTAATTTGTCACAGAAGTGTCTAAGAACGCATTATTTTTACCAGCCGAGACATGGTAACGCTGTAGGCATTGCAAACTTAGGTTACTGTATGACGAAAATGAAACTTTTAATGAGAATCTATTAGAATTTTTCAGACATAA